TGGAAACATCCCGGGGTTCATTTTTATTGAGGTTACAAAATCAACAAGTGGCATTTTCTGGGCTTGGCAAAGGGAGCAACGTAAAGGTATCAAGTAGCACTCCTATATTTGGGCATGAGTGAAGGGTCATATCCCCAGACAGCTCTGCAGGGGTGAATTCTGCTCCTGCAAAGCATGTGGAGGCCTGTATTCTTCCCCTCGGTGAAAATGTGTTATTTTATGTGCTCAGACGATCACCTCCCTTGCTTTTTTAGGGAACATCTATTTCTGGTGTAGCTGCCAATTTACTACCCCACAATCCCACCCCATAGTTGGACATATGACTGGTATGATTCCATGAAAATCTTCCCCCAGGTTTGTCACAAGGTCTGGAGGGAACGCGTTTTCTATCCTCTCGCCACTGGACTGTGAGAATCTAAGATCTTGTGTTCCTTGATGTGCGTGGAGTCAGTCAGCTGGAGAGGACAAGGGGAGAAGCAGAAACGAGAGGTGATGAGGGAGCCCTGATGGGCCTGTTCTTGGACGGAATCAGGCAGAGGCCAGCCCCTCCTCTGCTTGCTCCATCGTGTCAGGGCCTCAGCAAGAGCAGCTCTCTATCATGTTGTGCTTTGTTAAGTTCAAATTGGACTTCTGACACGTTTAAAGAAAAGAGCTCTAGCCAACTCACTTCCTACTCTGAAGGTTGCTGCGCGTCTACAACCACGGGGACATCAAGCAAACCCAAAACATATCAGGAGGATGAAAGGGAGCCAGGTTATCAGGCTCAAGGAAGCCTGCCCCCAGCCAGTTAATTTTGTCATGGCTTGTTAGAGTCACAGTACCAAGTTTATGGGCGCGATTTACTAGCTCCTAATGTTCTTTTCTGTGCAGAGTGGATATGCCGGTCACCATCTATACGCCGGCAGTTGGGCAGGAGAGTATGCAGTGGTCGGCAAACTCATTAGTCAACAGAGCCAAATATCAACAGTACTTCTTCAAAATAGATTCGCCCAGGCTGAAAACCGACTTCTGCACATGGGCCACGAAGTTTCAATGGCACTGTACATGCACCCGCACGTGGTATTTTGTGGAAGAGCCACACTCAAGGGGCCAAAAAGCCGCATGTGGCTCGCGAGCCGCAGTTTGCCGACCACAGGTATGAAGGATGGGGGGAGAGGAGGCCAGGCACAACCAAGAGGCCTGCTCAAAGCCAGAAGGTCATGATCCAACAAAATGAAAGAGTGCCAGGTCCATGAGCTTTCGTTTACATCGCCATTTAGTTCCCTTCTCCAGCAACTGGCTCTGTGGGTTAAGACTTTGCATTTGCACATCAATAACATCTACCCAAAGGTAGAGACCGGATTAAATGAATGTCATTCTAGCTCAAAAGCGTTCCAAAGTCACCTGGACAACCTAACATTCCCCATACATGCCTGTTTTGTCACGTTCTCAGTACTTCATTGAGGCTCCTCCTTCAGTGGCAATCTCCTTAGCATGTCCTCACGTCCTCAGCAGGTTTCAGTATCCCTGAGCCTTCAACCACTTCTTTCTTAAAACCTCTTCATAGCCTTTTACCTTCTTAATATACGACATTTTCCATATTGAATCACACTTATTTATTAGCCTGTCACGCCCTTTAGAGAAGGGCAAGGACTGTGTCTAGAGTATTAGTGACTTGTCCAAAGACTTAGGGAAACTTGACCCACGTCTTCCATCCCCTATTCCAGTGATCTGTGTTCTGTCTCTTCCTTCATCAGCCTCTACAACTCTAAAGGCATTCCTGGCCCCCACTGAGGTAGGAGTTACAAATCCCGCTCTGACACTGTGATGTAAGAAATCCAGGCTTTCCCTCTGAGCTGCTGGTTGCCTTCATGTCACCCCTCTGACCACTAGCTCTTTCATACGCAGCCTCAGTTTTCTCATGTCCAAAATGAAGAGGACTTCTAAGGTCCTTCTTCTTGACCATTTCATGGAGCTGAGTCTCTGAGAATTTGGTAAAGGAGCCATGCCTGATTTAAGTTCTAGACTTCTGACTAGCCACCTTTTCTAGGCTTCTTCCAACCTACGTTTTAGAACAGGGCCCGAAGCGTTGCCATCACAGGAACCTGAATCTCTTGACCTAGCCACATTCATGCTCCGTCCTTTTTACCATGATTCTTTCTTGACCTTAGACTATCCGTTCTTTTTAGAGGCCAAAGGAGCAGTCATGTAACTGAAAGCAGCTCAACTCAAGGAAAAATTGCAACAGTAATTTAAGACAGCCTCCCAAAAAACTAAATTCACCAAGCACAGTGTATAAACCTAACACAGACATGGCCCACCTGCTTTTTCATTTCCTTTGCCTCCTCACACACCAATTGTTTCGTTAAAGCTTTATTATTTCATTAGTCAGCATATTTTCAACAAAGCCAAAAAAGACCCTCTCCAATTACTGAAATTGTTTTCCCTTCTTGTTTTATTTTCATCACACTTTAATGCCTTGTAGGCTGTTATAAAGGGTAGGAAGTCTTTTTTCTCTCGTGGGATCATAAGACAATTAATTTTATAAGAAAGTTATACCTTGAGTGAGGTAGAGTAACTAATATCCATCACTTAAAATTACTTGCGATGTTTGCAATATAAAATAAATGTGTTAAGTCAAAATGCTTATATTCAACCTTAAAAGGCAAAACAAGGAGGCACAATCGACATGCATCTATTTGCCATCTTCCTCCAGAATGAGATGGAGTTAACCGGCTTCAATTCTGCAAATTGGTTTATAGCTATTTTATATGAAAAAAAATAGTGGCGCACTTTCTTGAAATAAAGAAAATAAACATGTACCTGCTATCAGGGCAGAGAGTGAGAACAGAGCTAAGTACTGCCATCGTGAAAGTTCAAACAGCTGACAAATAAAAACTCCCCAGGACTGACTAGTGGAAGGTGACCTATAAATATGGCATGCAGCCGAAGAAGAAAAGTTAAGTAAAACTGCTCAGTCTGTTTTACTTTTCTGGTGAAATGACCATTTGTTTCCAGCTAGTCCCAAAGCTCATGTCTTTAGCAGCCATTACTCCACTGTCCTGGCATGCTGCTGAAGGCTTTGCTTATTTCCTAATTATCAAACAGAGTTGCTGGAATTCGTTAAGAAATTATAAGTAATATCTCAAGTACCTTCAAAATCCAACTTAAATCTTTCATCAGTGGTGGACTCCCTTGGTTTGCTCAGAAACAAACTAGAATTTGACAACACTGGAACCGCCTGAGCCAAAGACGAGGCAGCAAGCTATTTTCTATTCATTGTTGTTCCCGTGACTTATTTGTAAAGTCCTTCAAATGACCACAGAAGAACAAATCAAGCCATTGAAAAATAATAAACTATAATCTACAAGTTATGCACAACTATTTAATTAACCCACATGGTGAAAATATAAGCCACTTTTTAAAAAATGTAAGCCACTTAGATGTAGAAAAATCACACCCTCTATTTTGAATTGTTATGTAAAGTAAAATGTGCAAAAACTAAGTTAAAAATTGCATTTAAGATTCAAAGATGGTAATTAATCTTTTTCACTATTAATTTAACTATTTGCTAATCCAAATTAAATACTATGGCAGCAAGTATTGCTACAACAACCATTTCACTCTGGTAAAAAATAGTTCTCAATACTGGCTAAAGCCCAGCAAAATTGTGTCAAGTTCCAGTAGGATTTTAGTTCAAGCAATCTCTAACGTTGGTCACAATGGACTTTGACATCATTGTGTCCCCTTGTACTTCCTTGAGAATTAATTTCTTTCAGGCAACCTAAGAATTACCTTTCCTATATAATTTTTTCTATCCTCTACTGAATCTTGATATGCCTCAGGCGCAAGCACTTTGCACACATTTTCTTATTCCATTATCACAACAACCATTTGAACAGAAACTATTTTATCCCGGAGTATACTGAGATATATGCAGAAGAAACTGCGACACGGGAAAATTAAACTTTGGCCTCAGTCACAGAGCCAGTAAATGATGGCGTCCGCATTTGATCTCAGACAGTCTGACTCAAAGCCCACACTTGTCGCACATTTGCTGCCCAGCTCCCCCACCACCAGCATACACTGTTTTTCTCCATCCCAGCAACTCGGAGCAGTTACGGTTTTAACATTAACTAAGATTACAACCCACAGTTTACATCCATGATCAGCTTTCTTCCCTATACCAACATCAGCTTCATCAACACGCAACTGAGAAGCCTCCCAAACACTTGAAAAAAATATAAATATGCACACACACATATATACATACCTTATCTCTCTATCTATCTATGGGGCGGGAGAGATAGAGGAAGACAGGAAAAAGAGAGAAACATTAGAAGTCTGGACCTGTTGTAAAAAGACAGACAGATGCAGGCTTCTGCATTTACGTCAGGCACTCTGCTGGACCGTATGTCCACAGCACCTGACACAGTGCCTAGAACATAGTCAATCCCTATTGAGCATTTATGGAATGACTCGGGGAGGAGTGAATGAGTGGTGAGTAAATGACACTAATAGGTAGGCAGACATGGTTTCATATCTACAAAAAAGATGCAGTGATCCTCACTGATGCTAAGGTCAGTGTGAGTGAGTAGATGTGGCCACCAACAGCTGTGGTGCAGTACAGCCGGCACTTACAAAAGCCTCTGTCGCAGGCAGGAAGGTATTAGTCCTGACCTGCTTTTTTCCCAATGCATGTGGGCACCTGGATGGGGAGCACAGCAAAGGATGTGGATGGTAATTGGAGAATCAAGAAGTCCTGCTGTAGGAACAGAAGATTCAGGGAAACCTAAGGTTTTCAAACCCTGCAGGGCTGTTTGGGGAAAGGGATTAGACGGGTTTGCATGATCTCAAAGCTTTAAGCTGGGAAAAACTGGTTGAAACCACAGAGAGGCTGGTTTGGGTTCAAAGTTAGAAAGAACAGGCACTTTCTATCACTCTCAGTGGCTGTGTCCCCTTACTTTCTCACCACCTCCCAATCCAGAGCATCTTTCAAAGTCCAAAGCAAGTTCCAACTCCTCGGAGAAGATTCCTTCCCCAACAACACTGACCTTCAGGGGCTTCTCCCTTCAAGGAACTTCTATTCTACTTCACGATCTCCCCTCAAATGTCAGCATTGTCTTGGCTTCTTCCCTTGTTCACTCAGTGCTCTGCTAAGTGATAGGAATGCAAAGAAGATTAAGATTAGGTTATTGTCCTCAAGGTACTTACATTATTGAGACGAGACAGAGAAGTAAAATGAAGATGACCATATACTTAATGCAAAAGAACTAAGCACTGAGCATCGCTGGTTCATGGAGGGCAGACATCCAAATAAATCAAGAATCAGAGAAAATGTCCCAGGAAGATGAGGTTTCCTCGTTTTTCCCTGAACTATGTCTGCAGAAAGTTTGAAAACTAACCAGGTGAAGAAGCAGGAAAGGATGCGCCAAGTACAGGGAATGGCTAAGGACTCGAGGGACTGTGTTCTTCTAGGTGGCTAGAGGATACAAATGCCAATAAGGAATGTCCTACAGCAAGGATTATAGTTCCTTAATATTTACATTCCCCCATTGCATACTTCTCAACATTATTGGATTGTCACTAAATAATTGCTTATTTGACTAGAATAAATGTCATAAACAAGAAGGGACCCTACTGTTCGCCGATCCCCCTACTCAGGGTAACAAGAACAGGGCTTGAGGACCCCCACTTATAAAACTCTGGACAGTTTGTGTAACATAATGGTAAGAGCATAAGCTCTGGAGTCAGACCCACTTGGGTGTGAAGACTCACCCTGTGACCACAGAAATAACACTTCTCTTGTGAGCCTCGATTTTCTCATCCTAAGATCTAATAGTACCCACCTGAAAGGCCTGTTGCACAGTTTAAATGAGATTTTTAGAAAAGTCAAGCCCGAGAAAGCTGCTTGTTAATATTAAGTGACCCATAAATCATAGATCTGATGAAGAGTCAGAAGTAAGTCTCTTAATTGAAAATTAAGAAGTTGGAGAAGGATTATATTAGCACTGTCATGGGCCCAGTGCATATCCATCCCCCACCTAATAAAGAAAAGGGGGCAAAGAGATGACTGAACCTTATTAGCACATGCAGCTCAAATTCGAGTTGCCTGGCCCAGGTACCAGTGCAAATCTGTCATTGCCCACAGCCAGTATTTGTGGCTGACCTTGCCCCGCTTTGTTGGGTATCTTTACCATAAATGGTATTGAGAACCCAAAGCTGTCCCAAAGAGCAGCCATAACCATTCATCCCGTTATCAAACAAGTAAGAAAGTCTTCTTAACCAAAACTGGCCATTTTCTTAAAATTATGGATGGAACTGGAGAGCATTATGCTAAGTGAAATAAGCCAGTCAATGAAGGAAAAATACCACATGATCTCACTCATTCATGGATAATAGAGACCATTATAAACTTTAGAACAATAATAGATACAGAGGCAGAGCTGCCTCAAACAGATTGTCAAACTGCAGCGGGAAGGCCGGGGAGGGTTGGGGGGCAGGAGGGAGGAGGGTAAGAGATCAACCGAAGGACTTGTATGCATGCATATAAGCATAACCAATGGACATAAGACACTGGGGGGTAGGGGAGGCTGGGGGACTGTCAAGGGCGGGGGGGGAAAAAGGACACATATGTAATACCCTTTGTAATACTTTAAGCAATAAAAAAAAAATTATCGAAGCAGAATGTCAGGAGAATCTAAATCTAACTGAACATGCCCATATGGCGACAGTATTTAAGCGTGGGAAATGACTAATAAGAAAAGGAAAAGCCCACCAACAATGTTCACACGACGCTAACTGATGTAGATCAGTCAGGTACCAATGCTTTTGCTTGAGCCAGAAACATTTGTCCCAAAACCTGCAGCTGGCATGCATGTGCTTCAATCTATAAAGCCATCAAATTTGGGTATGTCGTAGATTAGCCAACTATAGTAAGCACTGGGAGGATCCCCTCATGACCAATCCCCAAACAAAAGCCTCTCCTTTAAGTACTTCTCTTTTCACAAGAAGCCTAAATTTAACAAAGTTAAAAATAGAGGTTGTCACTGTGATATGCAACTCATACATTCCAGTGTCATCCCTGCTCAAACTTGGATTTCAAATAAAACCACTACCTGTCATACCTGTTTATGGTATTTATCCATCTTGTTACACTCCAGATAAATTAAACAGACTTTCATTCTCTACTTCAGTCTTTGTCTGGGTTATACTCTACTCACTAAACCCAACTGCTTTTCTCATCTACCAAGCCATTAACTTTCTTTTGCCTAACCCAGACCAACTCACCTACATCATGGAAGTTTCTCACATTGAACCCATCCCATCACCCACCACAACAATCCCAGCCCAGCCATTCCTCCTCCACGCTCTGGGAGTTGAGTCATCTGGTTACATTTGGAGTAGATAATATGTGTCTGTCTCCTCTAATGGCTTGTAAGGCCTTAGAGTCGAGCTCATGTCTAATCTTTGCTTCATACATCTGTACACTACTGAATACATCATTACTGTACATTACTCTAATCCAATGGGGACTCAATAAAAACTTGTTGACTGACTGATTTAGCATGGGGATGATTATTACGTAAGCCACTTCGGTAAATAAATTTCAAATAATGACCAGCTCACACAAGTGTTTTACTAGCTCACCTTCCCCGTGGAATTGATAAAAAGAATGAAAATCAGCAGTCATTTCTACTTGCCCAACATTCAATGTTAACTCACCCCCCGAGAGTAGCTATTTTCAAGCCTAATTTCAAGTCAAAATATCTAAAATGGTTGTCATTCTTGGGAGGATTTAAGAACTAAGATTTTAAACCCAGTCACTTCCACAGGTTATTAACCCCAACCATGAGCGCATTATTTCTAGCATATTACTAATTATAATTCTAGCAATCTATTTGATTTCATGTTTATTCGATGAAAGGGGGTCATTCTAACAAAAGCGCTTCAATTGGGCATTACATTTTAATATAATTTATACTTTATTGGCATAAAATTGATTAGAAATCTTAATTTCGTTGATATTAGTTCTTTAATGGTTCAATTAATTTAATATGTGAGAAGTACAGTCATGAAAATAATGATCTGCCTAATTACATTTCTAAAACAAGAAATAAGTATTTAAAATAAATGGAATGCATATTGGTTCTCTTCCCTTCCCTTTTTGTTATCCTTTCATAGAAGCCTCAGAGGAAGGGAGTGGGAAGTGGGGAATTTTACATGTACTCTCTGTCCAAGTTATTTCAGCCTCTCATGTGAGATGAGGAGAAAAGGAGACTGATGTGGCTCAGAGTTCAAGGGCAACAACTAGCAGATGAGTACGGAGTTAATTCCGGTTTTATGGCAACAAAAATTTTTCACCTAAAGCCATGATTTCAAATGGATAGTATCAAGACTAATTTATTTTCGTTCTTACCTGTGAATTGTATAAACATGTTTAAATAGTTAAACTATCAGTTTAGAAATAAAATGTAAATATCAATTTAAAGAAAGGTGTTTTAAGAAGTCCTGAACTACTTGAGCATTATTATAAAGTGCCACACCTCTAATTATATTTAGCCTCTTTAGGAATGTTCATGAGAAAATGGATTAGGCTCTCTCCTGTCACCCTGTGAAAAGATCAGCCTGCTTTTGGTGTTCGGATATCCTTTCGGCAAATATGAGTTTCAAGACACAACATTTTAGATCCCAGAAGGTCTCTTCAAGTCAGGTTCAGCTAGATTCACGTTGACAGCTGCTCTGAAGTTGCATCCTCTAAGAAGCAATAATTGCCATTTGGAGGGTTTTCTGGGTGAAAAGGCACAACAGAAAAGGAGCTAGCACATATAATCTGAACCCCAAAAGAAATGCTCAAAGTCTCAAGGGCAATGAAGTGAGTATTTTAAAGAATGTTTGACTTTGACACTGATATCTTTATTTTCTACCCTTTATTGAGCAAATATCAGCAAATGCAACAAATTATCTTCAAATTTGAGCCACACAGATATGTATAAACTTTACATTCAATACTTCACATTCCAAGCTCTCTGCATACATATAAAAGGAAATAATTCAACTTTGGATGAAAAAATAATAACCTGACAGAACAAAGAAAGACCATGATCTAATATCAGAATAAAGTTCACAAATGTCATTAAGTGAGATGATTGATGATGAGTGAAGGTCATGCCCAGTTTACTTTTCACAGTTGACAGATCAAAGTCATTCCTTCATTGGGGATAAAGACTGAATGTAGTTACTTTAGCCTATGAAGTCTCTCTGAGGTCTGCTGTTCTAAGGCACATGAGTGGTCAGAGCATTCCTGACCTGTCTGGAAGCCGAGGCAGAATGGGAAAGAAAATTCAAGGTATATCTCAGTTTAAGTGAAGTTTTTTTAGTCTGGGATTAAATAATGCAGGAAATGCAAGCATAATATATTATAGGACATTGTAATATCCTATGGTACAGAGATACATAGAAAGATAAATGAGACTATGTCGTGGAGTGATGGGCTCATGAGGGCTGAAACCACTAAGGCGTCACTGTGCTTGACTACCCATCTGATTCATGAGTTCTCTTCCCTGTCAGGTGGCCATCCAGTCCATGGTTAGAAACTTGATAGGAACTTCTCCAGTCCTGCTATAGCCATGGATAGCTCTATCTGAAAGCTCTTTCTCTCTGTGACTAGAAATCTAGCTTCATTCATTTGTCCTTTTGCCACCCCTTGAGACCAAACAGAACAAACTAAATCCTTCTACTACCTAACAGCCCTCAACTATTTGAAGATGGTTATCTCATCCTCACCATTACCACTTAAGTCTTCTCAATTTCTTCAAATATACCTCATAAGTATTTGTCCAATCTTCTGAGCATTCTGATGAGATTCAATCTAGCTGCCACCAGGTTGCTAAAAATATAGACCTGAATATAGAATTACATATGTAATCGTCCCAGGACAGACAATGTTGACTACCCTCTCTCTTAGTCTATATACTTAACTATTCTTCCTTCATTTCAGCCAAGATCTCATTGGCACTTTTGGCAGCTATTGTCATTTGAGGAACATTTCTCCAATAAAGAATAATTGACTTTATGCTTTAGAAATTGGGGATATCTGTAATACTAAAATAAAAAGAAGAATCTGTAGTGAATAATTAAAGGGATGATTTATAAC